TCTGCTTGATCACTATGAATTATCCCTATGTATCTCTTATTATTGTTGTCTTACTTTGTTCCAATTGTTTTAAATGAGAAGTTAATAGTGTAGCAGATTTCTGCTTAATGTGCTGTAATATATTCAATTTTTAAAGTATATAATTAATCAAACTCCAGTTAACTTGATCTAAAGCACAATGTGCTTCCAGAATGTGAATCAGAGCATATATGGTTAAATTGTCATGTAGAAATCCTTTAAAGGCTCTGTATAGTTGGGAAAAAATCCATTTTTATTGTTGATCTTATCTGTTGTAATATTACTTCCATTAGTTGAATTTTTTCTCCATGATCAGCGATATTACTTGGTTGTGATAAGTAATTGTAATTTTCACTAATTGAGCATCCATCAAGGTCCTTAGAAATAATGCCATCATAAACATGTGTCACACACAAAAAAGTATAGCCTTGCTTGTTTGAATATAACTGCTATTATATATCAGGTAGATTACACTTTTGGATGTAAGCTTGAAAGGTATTCTAACTCTGCAGACTCCCCCCACCGCAAGTCTTGTCTCACTTCACTAACACCCAAAATTAAATCAAATTCCCTAGGAATGATAATCTGCCCAATTTAATAATTCAAATAAATTTGCAAAACAGTTATGTTAATGTGATATCATCTTCAATTTATAAAAATCTTCTCCAGACTTAGTTATGCCTCTGATGTAACCAAAGAAAAATCAACAGTGTAAATATTTATTGTGAGGAATGATGATTAAACTAACTTTTGGTTAAAATACAAATATTCTAGCAGTTGAGACTTCTTCATCACTGTCAACAAATATAATGCAAATGTCATATAATACAAACTCCAATTAGCATTTCTATTTATCAGCATGTTTATGAATAGTTATGTATTATGGTAGGAACCATAGTCATAACTGAAGAACAGCCTTCCTGTTTTTATATGAATAAACAAAAGAAAGAAGAAAGAGATATTATTATTCTCATTGTTTAGATGTTAAAAGTGACTGCCTTTATCTGATAAATTATTCTTACATGAATATATCTCTCTTTTGTAGCCCATCATATATTTTGCAATGCAACATGGTACATATTAGAGTCCTGTTGAAAAAGTAAGTACACACTGTTTCTTGTTTATTTCACATGTTTCCAAAGATTTAAAATACAGTGTTAGGGGGAAAAATAGGGCAATTAATAGTAATTTGTTTGGAAACAAGGAACATGTATACTTCAATCTTATTAAGCTAAATTGTGTTTTAGTTCATATATAGGTGAAACTCAAAAAATTAGAATATCGTGCAAAAATTCATTTATTTCAGTAATGCAATTTAAAAGATGAAATTAATATATGAGATAAGACTCATTACATGCAAAGCAAGATAGTTNAACCCTGAGCCGGTGAGATTTGAACAGCCGAACTGCAGATAACAGTCAGCTGAAGTGGCTGCAGTACAGCACTCTAATCACTGCGCCACCTCGGCAATACCTCAAATAACAAAGGCCTGTACTGCTGCTCTTATTATTTAGTGTCTTGACTGATTCTCTGATATGCTCTACTTTTGTTTTCAGTTGCCTGAAAAGTTTAAAATATCCATTGCTAATGGCAGAGCTTGATCCATTGCCTGAAGAGATGGCTGAGAATCCGCTAAGGCAGTTTGCAGCTGAGATAGTTGTAAGTACCCCTTGGGCGTGTTATCTTCTTTTTCTGCCCCCAGTTGTAAATGGAGTTAACAGTTATTTGTAAAATGATTTGCAAACTTTGGCTTCCTATGTGTATTGATCAAGTTTTATGAACTCCTGAAAGCAGGGTGATTCAGATAAGGGAACTACAAACAGTCCCTTGAGGTGAAGACTTGTGAAGATAGTTCAAATGAATTTCACTTTATCATGCCGAAAGAAGTCCCGATGAGAGTTTGTTCTATGCAGCTTCATTAGTAGTATCTGCTGGAGGGGAATCACAATCGGTGGGGAATCACATACACATGGTTACACCATCTCAAAGATGTGTGTTTCGTATATAGATGGCATTACATAAGCATGCTATTTGTGCAATGCCATCAGAATGTTATTTTTTTGCATCATTGCTTATACCGTATTTGCTGCTGATCTGATTATTTACTACAGTATACATTTGTCTATGTGCTTTTTATATCAACATGAGCTTACATATACAATTGACTTACTGGTACTGCCACACCCACAAAGCCACGGCCACAGAACCGGAAGTAAAACATTTTGAATCCCGCCACTGATCCAGTGTGTTTAGGGGAGGTAGTCATTCAATTCTTCAGCTTGGTTTGCGTTCAGTCTGAACTTCCTTTCTAAGCCCAGATTTAGCAGGAAAACATGCTTGGGTTCATCTCGCAACCTACATCTAGTTTGCAGCTCAGTGACTAAACTAGAATAATAATTATAATAGGGGGTGCATTGGCTCAGTGGTTAAGGACGCTGAGCTTGTCAGCTGGAGAGCTGACAGCCTAGTTTGAGACCCGAGCTATCTCCGTGCAACAGGATGAATTCCTGTTACTTGCCTCAGCTCCTGTGTACCTAGCCACTCGAAAGCATGCAAATGTAAGTACAGCTATGTGAATAAGTCCTGCACGCTTTATGGTTTACAGTTTATGATATTTTTGGACAGGCCATTGATTTTATGATATTTTATGCTAGCTGCTATGGAAATATTGTTATTTAAATAAATACTGGTTTTTAAGTGAAAAGCATAAGCTTTTTGCAATTTGGTGCTGCTTGAATGGGGATTGTGAATTTTCTTGCATGCTTACAATGCATGCTTACAATGACTATAAAAACAGATTAACTGATGCATACCCAGTGGCATATGTGGTATAAAAGTCTTATAATTTAAATATTAAGCTTGTTAAAATTGGGGAAGTGAAAAATGAAAGTTCATTTTGCCTTTTTGTAATCAAATGCCCTAAAACTTTGCATAGCTAGAGTAAGACACTTAGCATTGATCCAATCACAAAGGACATCTCCAACATCAGTCTCCTGTAGAACAGTATAGAGAGAGTAGAGTTCCAGTGAAGGTTTAAATTTCTTTAAATGGGACAAAATGTATATAAATGGAATTTGCACAAAGGCAAAAATTTCTCTTTTAAAAATCAGAGGCAATTTTTGCAAACTGATGGACTAATAACACCAGAAAACAAAATACTATAAACACAAATCCACGTCTCAAATGTTTATTAGAGATAGTCCTTCCTTAGCTTTCTTTTCTTGGCTAATTTTATTTATTAAATTTGTTTGCCACCATCTCTCCACAAAGGTGACTCCATACACTACATCTTTGTGATTCTTGTCTCCATAGATTGCATCCTTCAGCTGAAGTTTCAGAAACAAATTGCTTAAGATTTTGATGATTCCCGAGAGACATTTAGGTCATATTTCAGTGTTTCCCGCATTTCCTATCCCAGGGAACTTTAATTTTAATAGAAGAGGAAAAAAAAGCTCAGGGATAGATTCTGGATTTCTTGGTGCTGTCTGAGCTTGATCGTTTTCTTGCAAACGTTTCATTACCCAACTAGGTAATCACATCAGTGTGAGTGCGGAGTTTGCTGCCTGTTTTGCTTAGTTTTGCTCTTGTCACAGTTCCTGGCAGTTCCAGTTACAGGCACTCTGTTTGCCTAAAGCCTTCCACTTGAGCATTGCTTTTCTCTGCTTCTCAACTTAGAAAAACCAGTTCATCTTTTTCCTTTCTGCATTATGCATACAACTTTTCCTCCCCTCCTTTTTCTCCCAAGTATTCTCTTCTTTCTTTCAACCCAAAGTTTTTATCCAGCAACGAGGAGTAAAGGATATTGGGCATGCTCCAAATTACCTATTCTGTTTTTTTTTTTTAAATGCTTGAGAATCTCTTTCACTTCTTTCTCTTTGCTTGCCCTTCTGCAGACATGTACGGTATATCACCATAAGAGGGAGATGTTTCTTCACTTCTCTTACTCAGTGAGACTAGATTCCAAATGAGTGGATTTTGGATCTAGGTAGCTAAAAAAGGAAAGGCCATAGATCTATTTGTCTTATGTCTTGTATTTGAAGTCATTATGAACTACTTGCTCTGGCATCTGAGCTATGGTGTTTGAAGCCTGAGGATTTTGATTTTCATGAGGTACAAGGTTCCGTGAATGAGAGCTGGCACATTGCTATGCTATTATATGCAGTAAAAACTATGAATGTCCTTGAAATATTATATAAAGCAGTGTTTCTCAACCTTGGCAACTTGAAGATGTCCGGACTTNTCTTAAATCAAGTCCATCTGAGCCCTTAATCTGTTTACAACTTTCCAAGACCAACAGTAATCTTTTATAATCTCCCTTTTGCTATATATTTGAAAAAGACTTTTGCTGATTTATATGAAAAGATGAGGTTTTAGAGATGGGTTTATAGAGAATGGGGTGAGGTATGTAACAAAGAGGCATTTGGTTGTATTTTAAGAGATAGTGATAAGTTGTTGTTAACATTGATTGTACTCTCTGGGAATTAAAGAGGAGACTTTTACTTTTTCTTTTCTTCTTTTCGCTCTTTTTCTGAACTTTTAAATTTTAAATGTTTCGGTATTATGTACTTGAATTTGTAGTTAATATAATCTTTAATAAAATAATATTATTGAAAAGAAATCCAGTTCTTGCTACCTGAAATGGTACATCAGTTTTATTACGTTAATCTAGTAATGGATATAGCACATTCAGTGATTACGGGAGCTACGCTCAGCTTAATGAATCACAATTCTCCAGGTCTGATTTGGAGGACATGTCAAAAACTGTGAAAAGATAATCTGAAGTTCAGTTATGAATAAAAATAAATGTTACATTATGACACTGGATTAACTGATTAAAATGCAGCTTAGCAATGCAGGTTAGGTCTTAAATCCTTTTCTTTTTAAAACCAGCAAATCATGTCATTGAAGGAAATATTTATTAAGACGTATACTGTAAATTATGGTGCCACTAATCTTATTTAATATTTCCTTTTTCACCCGAGACTTGTGTATGGACAGAACTTTACAAAATAGAGAGCAATTTCTTGAAGCCTTTACACACTGGACTTAATATGTCAAGAGCACACTATGAAGCAGAAATAAAAAGGAAGAAAGAAAATAAAAAAGGTTAGTTAACTTCATTATTTTATACATGTCTTAGTTTCTACAGGCACAAAGGAATACTGCACGTTAGACTAAGATATTTGGACTATGTGAAATTTAAGTAATAGATAGAGCAATAAATCTATTTAAGGAGGGTATGTGAAACTTCTCCTTTCCATATGTAAATAGAGATGGCCAAAGCCTCAAAAGGATCTTGACGTAATAATTGATTTTAGGTTTGAACCAGACACTTTTGGCAAAAGTACTGATATGTCATTAATTGTGACGTTTCACTATAAGAGAGAACTATTCTTTTCCATTACAAAGAGCAGGAATCTGTGACTTTTTAAAAATAGTTCAGAATAGTTTTGTGTATTTTTGTGAGTTGGCTATTTAGCTAATAATACAGGATTTGCATTCTAATTTTTATTACATATCTTAATTAGAAGTCTGGTGTTAAATTCTATTAATGGTCCATTGCACAATATAAAGCGTGAAACACATTTTCCAGATGGGAAAGAGATATTCGTTGTCTTGCATAATGCTTGACTTCAGCATGACAAAATTGCTAATCCCCAGTAACTCTGTGAAAGAATTTATAATTTTGGTTATTATCTCAATACCTTTAACCTGTTCACTGTATGGAGGATACCATATACTTGGATACCAGTTTTTGTTTTGGGTTTATATTCTAATATAGTGTTGGGTCGTAACTTTGAGTCAGTGTTGATTCTGCAAGTCTCTGAAGTTTTCTTTGCGAGGGTAACTATTAATATTTTAGACAGCAAAAACAACTAATTCAATGTCAAATGTAGTAAAAACACCAACTGCTCACTGGAAACAACAATAATGCAAATAGCAATAGCAGTTAGACTTATATACCGCTTCATAGGGCTTTCAGCCCTCTCTAAGCGGTTTACAGAGTCAGCATATTGCCCCCAACAANGGCAAGCCACTCCCACAAAGGAGGCCACACCCACAGAGTAGGTTCGAACAATTTTTGAAACCCACCACTACATATGGCCATAGCTAACTAAATATCCATAGCATGTTTCCTATGTTATTTTGTTAGGAAAAATATTAACTAATCTTTTGTTAGGAAAAGTATTTACTAACATTTGTTAGGAAAAATATTTCATGTGAAAAGGGATAAATACACAATGAAGATTGGATTTGCATACTGTAGCAAGCCATGGATAATTGAATAAATTGTAATTGATTGGGTTTGTACAACATACTAAGCAATAAACCCTTTTTTATGCAGCTCATTGGTCAAATTGACATAGCAGGCTATGGCATAAAACAGATTGCATATTTTAATGCACTGTATAAATTCAATCTATATTTGAATTTATCACAATAAGTGTATCTATTATAATTAGCCTTCTATAAAAGAATCTTGTTTGCACCTGAGGCTAAAATCTTATCTTAATGTCGTATGAGCAAACCTGTGAAATTCTGCTGCCCAACTATATGTTTATTTGGGAAGATGCAATTTAACTGGATTAACATGAGCAGAATGGCATGAAACAAAGATATTTGTTGACGTTTCCTTTTTTTAGACTGTTAAATGCCAAAATATGATTTTTTTTAATGTGCATATTTGGGGTTGAGAGGTAAAGTTTTTGATCTTAGCGTATTCCTCCTAATTTATCACAGGCCTTGAGAACTTGGTGCTTATCATCAGATATTCTGAACTACCACTTCCAAAATATTGTTTTCTGAACCTCAGTAATTAGAGCTAATGAGCTCTGCAACATCTGGAGGGCATTAGATCATCTATCCTTGTAATGGATTTTGGAGAAGCTTCCTGATTAATGATATGTGACGACATAGAACAGTTTGAATGTAGAGCACTGTGTTTGCCTTTGATGTCTATTTTTAATTTTTTTGTCTGCAACTGAATTTTCTCTCTCTACAGGTTATTATAAAAAATATGGGCTGGAATCTTATAGGACCTATGCTCAGATGTATGCTGAAACAAGGGCAAGATGATGTTGAGAGACAATATTGTATGAAAATACTAGGCAAGTTGGTAGAAGTAAGTTGCAACATTTGTGCTTTAAGCTGTTTTGTAGTAGTGTTTTTAAAGATTGTCCTTTGGTTGAGTTCTTTCATGCTTATATAGACAATAGACATTCTCAGATTTGTAGGCAACTGATCAAGACATGGGTACAGAACTGTAGAAACTGGAACATTTAATGTCCCCATTTCCATAAACAGAGTGAAAAGTGTTTTGAGAATGTGAATGAATGAAGTGATACTCAAAAGAATAAGAGCATCGTTTAGACGTGTCAGCCACTTATGTTGCACAATCAGGATTTCTAATAGAACATAATGTAAATTGGCCGGTCAGAACCTCTCATTTGAATTGCTATTGATGCTATTTAAATAGCTAAATAGAATCAATTCTGTTTTCATAGAAGTAGAATGGTGACATGTATTTTATTTCACCAGTTATTAAGTAACTTCATGTGTAACTTTTAAATATCATGCAAAGTATATCCATATAAAATATCTTTAACATGGTAAAGATGACTATATAAGATAGAAATTAAAAATGAAATTGCCTTCAAATCTGCTCAATTTCTAGTAGAATAACGACCAGGTAATTATTTTGGCAGCCAAGAAAAGCAGCTTCCCCTTATTTTCCTGCAATCTTAGAAGTTTTGTTCTAGCTTTTCTTCTTTCTTGCAGTTGTGCAGTGCAAAAGAACTTATACTGGGCTTCCTGGAACAGATTGAACAAGCTTCTAGGGAACAGACATCCTCCGTTATTTTACTTCTGCTTAAACCTTTGCAAAAAGGTAACAAGTGTCTTACTTTTCAAACTGAATTGATAATAGATGGACTGCTAATTTATTTGCAGCAGAAATACTTGGGAACCCTTTGCCTGATAGCTTATCCAGTTGCAGTTAAGTGGTATCACACAAGGTTCTCAAAAGTCTTCTAAGGCTATAACTGTTGGAAAATACTTAGAGCATCCTTTATAAGTAACAGGTATTCAATTTTAGTTTCTTAGAATATGTCCAAATCTACTTATAGGAAGGAGAGGCAATTGAATCCCACTTAGTCAATTAACCTTTTGAGATGGGTGGAAGGAGAAAGTTCTAGGATGCTGAAAATCGGCCCTTGTACAATATAAGTGAAAATCCTGAAGTGTTTTTTAGAAAACAATCTAAAATCACTTCTAAATCTCTCCCAATATTCAGGAAGTGATGAACTATGAGGATGGCAATATATTTAATGGTACTAGTTTACTACTTGTTAAATCATAATCCGATTAATTCGAAGCCACAAATTTTCTAAAAATATGGCTGGTTTAACACCTCCTGTTTCACAATTTGCTTTAATTACAGTTTGTTGAACAAGACAAAAATGGTTCATGTAAAATGAAGCAGAAAACATAGTTNGTTTCTCAACCTTGGCAACTTGAAGATGTCCGGACTTCAACTCCCAGAATTCCCCAGCCAGCATTTGCTGGCTGGGGAATTCTGGGAGTTGAAGTCCGGACATCTTCAAGTTGCCAAGGTTGAGAAACACTGCTCTAAGGAATGCCAGGTAAGATTGACGTCAGGGATACTTAAATATAGAAAGTTTGAAGCCAAAGTGTTATATATTAATAGACTTTATTCTTTTCCATAGCAGAGCCTCACAGTTCTAAACAGCCCCTTACTCAATTGATAACTAAAGCGAAGATGTCAGGAATTACAAAGGACATGGAGCTTCAAGTGAGTAATTTGGTTTTAGGGAAACTATTCAAAAGTGTGTCTCCTTTTACTTAAGAATTTGATACATCAGCATTCCCAAGATACTTCTAAATTTATAATGTCGATCTGTTTCAGGCTCTTCACTCTGCACTTTTCACATTTGATTTAATGGAGAGTGTTCTGGCGAGGGTGGAAGAACTCATTGAAAACAAAGGCTGCAACTGAAGAAACCACTGGAGTCAAATAAAATCTTTATTTCAGTATTCCACTTATCAAGTTGGACTCGCCGAAATATAACATGCCAATTTAATGCTGGTCTTGTTGTCTCACTATGTAGTTTCACAGTAACATGTAACACTACCTATTTATAAAGGCATACTATGAAATAAAGTAGCAATAAAAAAGGAAGCAAGAATTACAAAAGATATTACTTGGTACAATCAATTTTATTCACAAGATTTATGATTAGATGGATTATTAAAAATTGAAAACTATTCTGCTTGAATCCCATGAAAATCAGATGCATAGAATTGGTGACTTTCTCCATTGAAACACAATGGAAGGGGTAGAAAATAATTGGCAAAAGTTGTTTGCTTTTTCTCGATCCTTCCCCTTCTAGACGCAAGTTTCAGTTAGATTGTAATTTGTTCTATGAATAGTAGGGCTTCTTCCATTAACAGAATCCAGCTGGTTCTGGATTTAATCCCATAGAATTAAGTCTCATACTAGTGAATCGATTGACAAAAGCTGCTTATAATTTAATTCCTATTTTTGTCACAGGCTTATATACAGATGTGTTGGTAAAAAGATTCCTGTTACTTAAATTTCAATCGGTATGATACAAGTCCCCATGGTACAGTAATACAAAAAGAAGAAAAATAACATTGCTAAAATACAGAATAAGAATTATCAAAAAGCAAAAAATAGAAGTGAGTAAACAACTATTGTGATGTAAAACTGTAAAGTTAGAATCATGTCTATCAGCTGCTCTTCTGTACTTTTGAATAATGTCCATTCTCCCCTGAAATTAATTAGATGATATTGAGATCCTTATATACAAGCTTGTGGTTTATATCTGTCCTTCTTTTTACTATTGAAAGGAAAATGTATAAGGGTAATATTTCTTTATACTGGAGATTAAACATCTAACAACAGAGAGTTTTTTATTTTGAACATATCTACTAAAGTATATTTTCAGACAGGTGTTGATTTTTTTGTTGGATATGTTTTTTTAAGCACAAAATAAACATGGTCAATTTTTTGAATACTTTGGATGGTGTTTAACTTCAGTGCAATTGACTCTGATGAAGCATTTTCCAAACAGGGCTTTGTTCTATAATCTGTGTCTTTGCCATTTGCATTCTGTAGTGAATGTTGTCCAGATAGGATTTTGAAGAAGTCTTCCAATAAGAGAAATATTATAGTTATAGTTGCCATTTATGTATTATGTCATCAACAGTTGAGAAAGATTTGAAGATTTTACCATCCAATATCCAAGCAAAAATTCTACAAATAACATTTTTCAAGTGGTTGAACTGTTGGGCTTAATTCTGATTTTATATTGATATGATCTAAACAGAAATACTAGTAATTCAATACTATCTGCTCTTAAAAGCATATATTAAAATATTCTTGTAACACAATGTTTATAGGCATATTGAGAAGTAAGGTCTGTTGAAGTAATTTGGGACCTGCTCTCAAAATGGATTTTGAATGGGGCTACTGGATTGTAATCCAAAATGACCAGGTGGCATTCTGGGAGGGAGGAGGGAATGGCAGATTGAACTGTGGAAAAGCAGAGTTGACAATTGCAGTATAGAAGACAAAGGGCAATGAGATTTTGTGTATGCTCAGCCCAACCAAATAATTGGGTAAAGACTTAGTATTATTTGTCTGTCTTCATTTTAAAGAAATTTTGGATTGGATGCATTTATAATTAATATTATAAGAAAAAGCTATCTTGAAATCGAAAATCTCTACTATGGCAGCAACCGTGCAGTTATGTTCAGTACTGCACAACAAATGAATCTATTTTGAGTGTAAATATTTATATTTATATATTGCTATAGACGTAGAATTTTTAAAATACAAATTCTGCACTTACCTTTGCTATGGTCAACATTAATTTAACAGCTTCAGCACTATTATGGACTGGCACTATTCGTAAATTACTGCCTAAAAATCTTAAGCAGAGATTTTTTTAAATAAATATCCATTTGTACATTACATTTTTAGTACAGATAAAAATAGTATAACATTACATAAATGTATATGATAGTAACATTTGGGGACTTCATATTTCTTGGCTAAAATAGTGGGAGGTAGATATGTACATATTTAAAATGGGAAAATGGGTAAAATGTTTTACTGATTATTTAATAAATGAAACACTAGTTCACCTGCCTCCATTTTAGTATAGTAAATACAATCTGTTGGAAAACTGAAAGGCATACTTGCACCTTAACCCATGACTATTCTACGACAAACATTTTTGTGTCCATCCTCTCCTAAATCTTTGATCTGAGATCCTTTTGAGTTGTGTTGTCAAAAATTGAACAAACATTCATGCAAAAAAAATGTTATATTGTTGGATGCTATCGTTCTGGCAATGTTGAATGTTAGCCTATGCTCTAGCCCAGGGGTGTTAAACTCACGTTGTCATGGTGGTGTCACGTGACATATGAGGACTTTTTCTCCCATTGCTAAACTGGGCATAGGTGTGGCCCGTGCATAATACATCTGGCCCGTGGGCCAGGAGTTTGACATCCCTGCTGCTGCCCCATCACTGTCAGATGATGAGTTAGAACTCATAGTTTAGTATATTCCTGGACCAGTGCATCACAGAAGACATAGTCTTGTATTTTTCCAGGATAAATGTTATCTGGAAATTATTATTTTCCCTGAATATGTATCACTCCTTTTGCCATTATTGGCTTTGTACTTGCTGTTAGTAACAAATATGGACACCAATCTTTCACAATTATTTATGAGTTAACCTGTGAAGCAAGAGTTTCCAGCCTTGGCAACTTTAAGACTTGTGGACTTCAATTCACAGAATTTCCTAGCCAGCCATGCTTGCTGTCGAATTCTGGCTATTGAAGTCCACGAGTCTTAAAAGTTGCCAACGATGGAGACCCTTGCTATATAGCATAGTCACCCACTTACTTTCTTCCCTCCTAAAGCAAATAGAGGATCATACCCAGCTGCATGTTCACCTATTAGTTGTAGTTTCCTTTGCTGCTTTGTTATCTTCCCTCTACTGAAACAATGTTAAAGCTTCCTAAATCTAGCAGACTATTGTTTTGGTTATATTATTCTGTAACAAGCCATGTACTTCGATGACATAGAATTACATTTTGTTTCTTCAGATAACAATGCATTCTATAATGAGAATCATAATTAAGAACCAAGTGCAAGGATGTCATGGTTTTATAATGGTTTAAGTTCCAACATTTCTAAATAAAGGGATCAGGAAATTGAAGTAAAATAGAATTTTAAGTAGACTGTCCCTTAACCTCTGCCAGTCACGATACTAGTGAGATAACGAAACAAAAGTTACACCTAATGTGATAAAATAAAAATGCCAAGTTGACAAGTATACAAAAATAAATTCCTTATACATATTGATATTATCTCTGCTAGGGCCAGTCTTCTATGCAGAAGTATTTATTCCAGAATATACATCCTACTTTTCATCCACTATAATATCAGGCTAGTTAGTTTGAGCTGATGTAGATCAATTTAAATATTTCTGTGTTGCTTTTCAGCTGTGAAACTCACAGCTGTTTTATAACAGTAGATTAAGCCCTGGAAAACCTTGTGTGTTTGAACTGTTTTATGAACTACATTTGCATGTCTAATTGCTTCCCTTTCAACAAAAATATAGAAATGCCAGCTGCTGCAATGAAAATGGTGATTCGGGATTGTACTCTTGCTAGCATAAAACCATGGATGGAGGCTTGAAATTAGGCAAAGATTGGTCTGGTCATGCTGGCTATGCACATATGATATCTTTCTTATCCTTTTCTCTAAATTTCCATATTTTAAATTAGAATAACTAATAAGTTATATTCCCTTCCTTCTGCATGCCTTATTTTCACATATGTCTATACATTAGTATTCCTGAATTTCCTAGGAAATATAGCTCTTGCTGTAATACAATTTGCTAGCTGCTAACTTAATTTAAAAAAACTTCTAATAAAAGATAATGTTGAATTTCTTTGTGCTTTCCAACCCACAAATTTAAGCACAAATTTGCAACATCATCAGGATATGTTCAGCTCCTGTAATATTCATAGCATGCTCCTCTTGTCATCCTGGATTTTATACTATGCATTTTGATTGCTTCTTAATTGGAAGCAAGATCACCCATTGTCAAACATAGGTAAATGTATGCTGGAAGTTTTGTAAATATTTACTTGGTAGTATATCTCACTGAAACCAGACTCCTGCTTTAAATGCGTGTATATTTGGGAACTGCTAATTTGTTAAATTTTCTATGCAGGTCTTCACAATCTCCGGAAAGCTCAAGAGGGAGAAAAAGTGATGGCAGGTCTTACTGATTACCCTTACCTGAATGCTATAGGCAGCTAACTACGTCAACTCTTAAAATAATGACACCCCAAATACTTATTAAAAAATCAAGAAAGATAAAAAATAGAAAATATAAATGCCCTATGCCCACCCCCACCCCCTGGGCAAGATGGAATGGATATTTGCAATCTTCAGCTTTGCTAAAGTGTAAAAGATACAAAAGATGCCTACATCTGGGAGGGAGTTCCAAAGAAGCAGAGAAGCTACTGAAGCTACAGTTATCTCGATCCATTCCAGTCTGGCTTCAGACCTGGCTGCAGCACAGAAACTGCTTTGGTCGCGTTGACCGATGA